GATTTATAAGCGCGTCTTGAAATGGCCTAAGCTGCTGCAAGTGGATTCGGGGACGGAGTTCATGGGCGTGGTTACCAAGACCCTGAAAGACCACAACACTAAGATAAGAAGAGCCGAAGCAGAGTACCACAGGGGTCAGAGCATCGTCGAAAGATTCAATAAGACCCTGGCCGAGCGTCTCTTTGGATACCAGTATTGGAAAGAGCTAGAAGATCCATCCAAACGCAACAAGGAATGGACACAGCGGCTCCCCCAGGTCGTCGCGGCTTTGAACAACGAGGCGGCCAGGGCTACGGGAATGAAGCCCAAGGATGCCATAAAAAAGAAGCACGTGGAACACAAGTCCTACGTCAGAAGTTCAAGGGCAGTCTTCCCCCATGAAAAGAAATTAGGTAATGTCACGGTCCGATATCTCTACGGGCCGGGTGAATTAGAAGGAGGATCCAAAAGAGCTACGGATCCTAACTGGTCTTTGGAAACTTACCAGATTCGAAGTGTAATAGCTAAGAAGGGTCAGCCCATCTTTTTATTATCTTCACGATGGTCCCACGCGCGGATTCGTCAAAGAAGAACTGCTTATTGTGTGATGTCCGAATGCTATCGTGTGCACTCCGTCATCGCACATCCATCGCTTACCGTCAAATGCAGACAGTGACACCTTCTCCTGCGTGACGTTATGTATCTGATGGCCATAGCTGCGCAGGCTGTTCATCTTGTGCCGCTGTTCCTTGAGCGTTCGTAATACGTTCAAGTAGGACTCGTGCGTAATGTCCTTCTTAACCACGTACTTTTTTACGCCTTTGGCTTTCTTTTCTACACCGTCCAGCTTTAGCACACTGTACATCTTTGGCTTCAAACCCACGTACTCTACTATGGGTTTTCCTAACATCTCGTCTTTCATCTTTCCTATTACCTTCTTGTTCTTTGCGCTGTAAAGGAAGTGCTCCTTCGGGTAACCGCTGGTGTCGTACTCGTCTATGTCTTCGACGCAATCCTGGTAGACGTCTTCCGTCTGCACTTCTAGTATCAAAGAGTCAGTGTCCGTGTACAGAAGGTGACAGCGGTCTCCGTACTTTGGCTTTAATTTGTCGTAGTAAAACTCATACATCAGCAGCTTCGATAGGTCTAACACTGTAAACCCCGTGTATACGGGTTTATTCAGGAGCAGGTTCGCTTTCTTCATGTGAATCACATAGAAGTTCAGCATCTCTACGTATCTAACGAATCCAGGCTGTGACACGTATGCTTCTGCTTCCTCTCTGGTGCTTGCTATTTTTACGCTTACGCGCTTGCGGATGTTCTCCATCGTCTTCCCAAATACGCTGTTGTTCATTAGTTTAAATAAATTCTTTTCGAAGTCATTCTTAGCTGCGGTCCGTTTCTGTGTGTTAAAGTCAATGTAGGAACGCATCCATGGTTCCTGCGTGAACTTCAACACGCGGTGAATCTTCTTTACGCGCATTCCGTGGCGTACGTAGAACTGCAGGTTGCGGTAATGTACGACATACTTCTTTTTACTCATCAGGTTCATAGTTAGTTTCCTGTACGGTTTGTAACCAGGGCACATTTGCTTTTGCAGCGGTGACAGCTGTTGGAAGGGTATCTCTATTGCTTCTGGTGCTAAGGGAAACTCGTCGTGTTCGTCGTGCAGATGCTCCGGGTACTCCAAATCCACCTCCAGCACGTAACCCTTGTCGGATTCCTTGTCTACGCTTAGGTAAAATTCTATCGGCTTCACGTCGTCCCATTCGAAGTCGCGTACAGGTAAGTACTGCGACATTGCCCAACCGTAAAGGTTGTTAGCGTCTAAGTAGAAGATGTAGGTGGTTGGTTTCTCTGGGTCATACTCAACTGCAGGATTGTTTGCGCGGGCATAACGTCTGCTGGGTCCGCAAACGCCGCCGCGGATACCGTCTTCCATAAACCGGTACATATCGTATTCCGTTAGCAAATCCAACTGCGCGTTTGTCTTCTTTAACAGCGCACTCCAGCTGAGTCCGGGCGCTGTGTAGAAATTAGCGGGATCCAATCCGTAGTATTCCATAGCCATCTTTCTGAAGCTTTGGAAAACATCTGCGAGCAGCACTACGTCTGAACGTAGGTAAATGTCGTGGTAATCCCCCATGTTCTCACAGGAGTACTTTTCCCACACGTCTAACGCATGCTGGTACTCCTCGTCCTTTATACCGGACTCGTTTAGGGTGCTGTAGAAGCAATCTTTGCTGGGCAAAGATTCTTGAAAGCGCTCCCAGGAGTCCATGTATTCATATGGGTAGACTCCTTTCCTTTCTGCGCCGTATTGACTGGAAATGGGGAACTCCGTGTTGTACTTTACGAGGTTTGCTAAGGAGTCCGCCATAAACTGCTGCGAATCTAAGAACTTTAGCTTACCAACAGTTACGGACATGTAACGCTCTTTGTTGTTAGGTATGCATTTGACGTCTGAACCGTCTGTTCCTTGTAGGAGTAAATGGGAGTCGTAACCGCGGAGGTTGTGAAAGAACACGGAATCTCCATGTCTGGATTTACTTTGAAGTTTATATTACATTTCCAATGAGCTGCCCCTCTGTATTTACTCGTGATGTGGCAGTGATCTCTAACCTTATCCACATAGAAGTCTTCAACGAATGCTTTATGGCAGTGAATGCAGTGCGTGGAGGGCTTTCCTGGCTTCTCACCTTTTTTAGCATACTTCCCACATTTAAAATGAGCTTCTCCTAAATACTTCCCATCTTCATCCCACGCTTTCTTGGC